CAAATTCTCTATATAACTCGGGTGGCCTTTGTCGGGTTCGGACTTAGCGTTTTGGAGGGAAGGGTCGCTGGTTCGAGCCTGTCTCGGAGACTATTATTTATCACATCTCTCTGTTGCCGCAGAAAACTATTATGAATTTCAGAAAGTTTATTGAAAATCATTTGTAGCAATTCTACTCACATGTACATTTATTAATTTTCTAAATAAACTGGAAGTGTATGTATGTCATTTTCGTATTTTGAAATTTCAAACAAGTTAACATCTCTCTTGTTCTGTTTGTTAAACGTATCACATCAAACCTATTGCCCAATATAATATTCAAATCAATATTATATTAAACGTGCAGAAAAATTGCGAGTAAGTATGTGCTTTGACAGCACCAGTAAGTAATTTTTTTTACAATTTTACTCTGACCCTATGCAGCAAGATCACTTTAATGCAATCTACACTTTCCCCAAGAAACACTTCTCTTATTTGTTGGTGGTACATCCTGTAATGTTTTCTTTTAAGTCTTGATTTACCTACAGTCCATATTAAAGTCAGTTACTGCAATTTCAATTTTCTTTTTGAAACAAAAGTTTCTTTAGAATGCTAGCCCAGACGATGCTATGAAGACAGTCATCAGACTTTTTTTTCTTTCAGCAGTGCATCTTTTCAGTAGTTCTTCCAGATGTCTGTTCTTCCTCAGATGTCAGCACGATCTTCATTTTCAAACTATTCTGATTTGATGTTGTTTCACCCCCAGCGACAGCTCTGTTGAAAATTATTTTCTGCTAACCCAATCGGGTGGAGATTATATGTAGCACTGTTTATGTTTATTAATTTACTTGGCTTCTTCGTGGAAGTTCGAATATCATTCAATGTATTCATGTTTCTACGATTGTTTCACTTGAAATACAACAGCACACCAAATGCCTCCAATTACCTCCATGTTTATGCTTATGTGTGCGTTGTGGAATAACCTTTACACATGCGTTGCGGCGATTTTACACTGTATTGTCCGTGTTACTATTTTTTGTCAACTTGCATTTGCTCCTTTTGCACTAATTTGCGCAAAATACTTGTACTTTCCTAGCCATTCGTGACTTGGATCGGTTCGAATCTTCTTCGAAAACCGAGCTTAGCCGCTATATGTAGAATAAGTGGAGGGAGAGGTCGGTGAAAAGTAAACAGCGATTGGTCCTACAATCAAACAATAGGAGCGTCGCGATACGGCGTGAAGTACACAGAATAATCTCTCATTGTCAGGCGGTGTTTCTAGAATAAATAAGAAAAGGTATAGCTAGAATATAAGAAAATGTCAAGCTGTCATTCGAAACTTGAAAAAAAAATTTTAATAATATGTATTCGATTTTAAATTGCACTGATATCAAAAGGCTATAATGACGACAGCCGTTGATTCGCATTTATATTGCAAGCTGCCGGGGCGTTCGTTGGATGCTGGATTGCGTGTTCAATAAAACACATACAGAATTAATTTCACAACACATTTAATTTAACTTTAAAATGATGATTATGAACATGCAAATGAATGAATTTACAAAATTACTACAATTTATTATTTTAGCTATTGCGGCTTACTAGTTTAGTTGGAGAGATTACAACAATAACAATTAATTTGCCTCTAACTAATATGCTGTATTGGAGGCATCTAGTATCTTAGCATTGACAGCTTCGTTGAGCAGTGTCTCCGCCTTTCAGCGGGATAGTTTAGATGACAGGGACGATGTTTAGATGACGGTCACAGCCGCCCGTGATGCGTAATGGCAGCAGCCAACAACACGCATCGGTCATGCCTCTGTCGTTCATTCGGGCAGGTCACAAGACGACAGCGCGCGAACTCAGGACCCACTGTGGCGCCGGCGACGTCGCGTTAACGTGGCGATAGGCCGAGTCCGAATCCCGAATCAGGCGGGATCGCAAAGTACTGGTCGAAGCACAAGTTAAGAAGAGCTCATCAGTTCGAAGTCGAAATTAAGCTGCAAGTTCATATGATCTGGATCTAACGAAAACTTCTATCTTCTTTACACCGTTGCATTTTGTTATACCCTCGAAAGTGTTTTAAAAACAGATTTTTTGTCCGAGCCTATTTCTAATTAAAAACGTAGAAATTTATGTTCTCTTCATCGCGTAACCCTTAATTACTGCTTATTAAGAAACTTATTTTTGCAGCGTGTGATCCACCATTATGACAACTTTCTGCCGTCTCTCGTTCGACCTCTGCCACGACTCTACCATGCGATTGTCTTGTGATCTGAGACTTCCTGCGATCTACTGTTCGATTGTCTATTCGACTCAGTATTGTTATTTTGTCAAACAATTACGTTAACCGAATCGTTATAATTCCCTTTATTGTTCCTTTCATACATTAATTTACATGAAAACATATAAAGTTATCACTTTTGCTCTTATTTATTAAAAATTCATGTCACTGAGATGGTATGGTTCATCTCATGCTCATTACATACATACATGCTTAATTCACAAAAGACCCAAAGACACATTGCGACAAGAAGCAAGCGTGCTTGTTTATAAGATCGAAAAATATGTTTAATTGGTAAATTACTATTATTAAAAATATGTTATTTCTCACGTTTTTTGCAATTTCATAACTTTTAAAGTTAAGCAAACAAGAAGCTCAACAGCTCTTTATTTATTATAAATACTGGCAATTACCCAACTGACACATAATTAGGAAGCAGACTGAATAAAATGACACATATATAATAACAACAATGTTACAGATAATACTATAAAAATCATTTAACAGGGAGGTTTTCGCTAAATTAATACAATCCTTAGTAGAGTACGGGTCAGTGTTTAAATCATTCGCAAGTTTACACATACTCAACATGGTGCATTATTTAATTGATTTGTCTATGCAAATGGTGTAAAATATTATTTTGCTCCTTAATTCAAAGATTTTCTGTTGGTACTTTTCATTGCATATTTGTATGCATGTACATACAATCAATCTAATAATATAATAACATATATAAACATTTTGCTGCATCATATATAAGACTTTAATGAGCTAATGTTAAAAAAGGAGGACAGTAAACTGTAATCATGACTGATTATGGTGAGGGCAATCGTACTTTCCGTGCTACTAAATTAAGAAATTTGCGTTATACACATTCTAATTTTCGAACATAATTTTTATAAATAGGCAATCATACTGGGGATACATACATCAAAATTAGTTTAAATAAATACATAGAATTGGGGGAGATCCAATATTTGAAAAATCAGTGGTCATTCATTTAATGTATCAATGTAAGAGATTAGCATTCGAAATAATGCAATGAGAATTTCAGTTTAGGATCAACGAGGACCCCAAGATATTTTATAAATGAAACCTTTTCAAAATATTGCCCATTGAATATGTAAATTGCACCATATTTCTCATTCCAGAAAAAGTCATAGTTTCACATTTCTGTGTATTTAGATTTAGTTTATTTGTTCTACATCATGAACCAATAAATCTAAATTCCCTTGAAGTGTGAATCAGACTGATTTAACTGCAGAGTATAACTTCAGATAGTCATCATGCATTAAAAATGAGCAAGTACAAAGATTAAATATCAGATTATTTACTACTAATAATAAATAATAATGGGCCCATGTGGGAACCCTGAGGAATACCAGAGGTACCCATTATGTCTCTTGAAACAAATGATTTATAAATTACATTTCGAATCCTGCCTATCAAATAGGTTTCAATCCATTTCAAGATAGTACGTATTCTTAAGTTGTACAGTTTCTTTATTAGTATTATATGGTTGACGGTGTCGAACGCTTTAGATACATCTGCATAAATTGTATAAACCAGTTTATTTATTTCTTGTTTTTTCAAAGTATAATTTTGAAACATTAATAACAATGTGAAACGTTGGTATCTAAAGCCATGGCGTTCGTCTATAAGAATATTTTTTACAGAAACTGCGAGTTTGTCTGTTATAATAGATTCAAATACTTATTGTATACTACTCAAATTTGAGGCACACCTGTAATTAAGTAAATACCTATTATCCTTATGAGGGGTTTCACTTGTAACAACTGAAATGTCATATACATAGGACAAACTGACCGAAAATTTACACAACGAATCACAGAACAGGAACGAGCATGGAAAAACAACACTACCACTGTCTCAAACTTCGCCGAACACTTAAACCTAAGCAAACACACATTCGACCAACATGTTAATATCCGTGTTCTAGAAATTGAAAATAGGTACCGGCACAGAATACAATTAGAAACTATTCATAAACATAACCATATGCAAACACAGAACATGACTTGTCTTAACCAACAAATCCCTGAACTTTCGTCACCTCTGCTAAAATTAGCCAAATTTGCACACCCCTAACTCCACTCGCCTTCGCACGCCCGCCCCTCCTCACGCCTCTCTTCCCCTCGGCCGCGCCGCCCCGCCACCATTCGCCTCCGAAACTCCGTCTGTCATCTTAAAAAGAGTTGCACTCTAAAATAAACAGCAGAACTAGGCTGCAAGGTACGAGTTTGCTTACACATCTGACTTCCTCGTTCTATGTTAACATTTTGTGCATAATCATTGTAAATAATTGTATAATTTATATTTTATATATTATTGTAATTTTTCAGGTAGCTCTGATAGCTACGAAAAGATCATAAGTTAAAATATACTTTTGATGCCGGACCACACCTTTTATTACACTTAATCATAAGAAGGTATTTCACCAGCGATCTTATTAAGGTCAGTAATTCTTTACATCTGAACTATCATCAGATTTATTAATAGGGGTTTTGAAGCTCCTTTTACAGACAGATGAAAAATGTGTATTCCGCCTGGCTCAGGGATCATTTTAGTATTTAGTTTTCCAATTGATGTGAAAATATCAAGTTGTGTTAGTTCAAAATGACACAAATTAATTTCGGAGTAAACATAGTTGTTTTCTACTTCTCTATCCGTACAGTTATACACAATGTAAACTGATAAAAATTATTAAATAAATTCACTATTTCCTCTCCTGTTTCAGCTCATAATCTGTCAAAGGAAATAACCTTTCATAAACTATTTATTTTCCTGATGGAGCTATTGTAGCAGCAGAAAGATCGACTTAGCGATAATTGAAAATTGCGACTTGAATTTCCTGCGACTGGGTACTGCGGCTGGAGACTGGGTACTGCGACCAAGGTCACAAAGCACACGAAGCATAATATCACGTTTGTATCATGAACGACCTTGGGCATGATGCTTGCGCTTATGAAAGGATAGGCCACTTGAGTGAATAAAAGTTTTTCCGCAGAAATCGCAACGGAAAGGTCGCTCTCCCGTGTGTCTTCGTCTGTGAGTGTACAGGGTACTTATTTGGGAGAACGACATGCCGCACACGTCGCACGCATAAGGTCTCTCACCAGTGTGTCTGCGCTTGTGAACGACGAGCGTGCTCGACGATTCAAATGACTTACCGCACACGTCGCAGCTGTACGGCCGTTCACCGGTGTGCGAACGCATATGAACGACAAGGCCGCCTTCCTGGGTGTAAGCCTTCCCGCACAAGTTGCATCGATACGGACGTTCGCCAGTGTGTTTGCGTTTATGAACGACGAGGTGATTTATGCGGAGGAAAGCCATCCCGCACTCGTCGCAGGTGAACGGCCGCTCGCCCGCGCGCTTGCGCTTGTGATCCGATGAGCTGCTGGATGAGGTGGAGGGGCTGTGGCCGACGGGCTGCTGTTCGCCTGGTTGGGGAGGCTCCTGCATCGGCGATGGTGAGGGAAACGTCGGGGCGTCGGTTGCAGGACGCACACTCTGACAGCTCTCGTGTCGTGGAGATTCGGTAGTACCTGCACAGCGTCGCCAAATTACAGTACTGTGCAAAACAAATTAATCACTTCACATACCCACTCTACCCATGAAAAGTAAATTCTACATTTCTTGAAATGGTATTAATTCCCGGCCTAAAATGGTATTAATACACGGGCTTTCTTTATGTCTTTCACGGATGTAGGCAAGGATTTTACTTCACTGAAAAATTAGTGGTGTTAAAAGCACATACTTTCTCTCCCTTAGTAACGGTAATGTTATTATATCGCTTTTGTCTATATCAACACATCTCAGTTAATGAGCGCTGACAGCAACGCCCGAATGCTGCGATGGGCGCTGCCAACAAAGGGCACATATTTTCTAATCAATTCTTGCACCACGCTTCGAATAGCTCAGTTTAGCTGCTCTGTGAAGGCATTTTAGAAGAAAATATCATACATTTAAAACTTCTCGCCGCGGAGATTCTTGCTAAAAAAAACCGCGCGAATTCCTTCCTAATCGACCAAATACTCATTTTTGAGCAAGCCCTTTGAAATCGATTTTCAACTACTTCGAAAATTACTAATAGGTTGCGCCACTTCCTGGGCGGCCGCGACGAAAGAGTTGCCCATTGTTAGATTTCCTGGAATCCAATTTTTTCTACATCAGACGAGACGAGCTCACAGTTTGAAATTCAGAGCAGCCGCGACCATTTTTGTAACGATCGTGTCGACGCGTATAAGGCGCATTGAAAGTTTGTGGTACGTTGGCAGCATGCAATTAACGTGTAGTGCCTTTGAACCAGCGCTTTGGGACGCGGAGCGAAAAAGCAGAAGACATGAATGACGTGAAATTCATAAGGATTTTTTTCGTCCAGACAGAGGTAACCATGACAATCTCTTCAATATTCATTGATTCTTTCGGCCAAGTAATAATCTTTGGCAAATTATGTGACGCTTTCTTTCAGAACTCTCTCGTCTGATGAGAACACAGAAGGGTGGTCACCAGTATAGAGATGGGCGCAGCAACTATAAAGGGGTTAATAATTTGTTCTGACGCAACGGAAAAACTGGTGTTTTTAAGTGCAGTTCAGAGATGCCATATCAGGCGAAATTACAAGTGGCTCGAAGTGTAGTGACCATGGAATTCAAATAATTAGGCTAACCAGTAGTCGTGGGCACGAGAATAGTGATTGGTGCAGAAACTGTAAGGGGGGGGGGTAATAATAAGAATTTCAAACAGGGAGTCGCTATCTGCATGTAATTTGTGTCGTGTGTCTTTACGTTTGCAACCCCGGAATATGAATTGAATGCGGCCAGCCAATGAGCATAGGTACACGACAATGTTAGTGGTGTGCTCCACGTGTTGTGTGTGCATCAAAACTTTGTGGATTTGTTAGCGGAGGTGTGTCCAGTGATAAAGGATTTAAGTAAAAGCGCCGGTTTTTATTTGCAATCCGCTCAATGTCTAATGTAGTCAGATTTATAATCTACGTCTTTATGTGTTTTCACCTTCTCAGAGCAGACCATAAACCACAACGGGCAGTGCCCATAACTGTAAATATTTTTGACGTGCAGGACAATGATCGGCAGATGTCACTGTAATTTTAGCAATTTATACATTGCTGTAATGTTAAAGAATTTTCGAACATTGTTTGCCTTGTTAAGCGAAAATATACATTTAGAAATATTTTGAACAGTGATGGGCACTGTGGCCATTAGTGAAATTTGAATATGCCCATCACTGTCTTAATAATGGGGTGCAATGTTATCACTAGGGGACGGATTTGGATTACCTAAAACATCTCCAAATTAGTGGTGCTACGAATGGTACAGACTTTCCCGTATTAGTTTCCTATTTCCTTTGGACTCGACAAGCTATTCGGACTTGCCTCGGCCACATACTCTTGCTAGGTGCGATCTATCGCCGCTGAAAGTACAATTTAAAAAAAAAATTTTTAAATTTTCGGTTTCCTAATAGTAAAACGGAAATATTATTTTAAGAATATTAAAGAACAGCAAAGCTACGTCCAGTATGGTTATTTTCTTAGAAACATTTGGAGCCGTTTTTTATGAGAATAACTGTAAATGGCGTTTAATCGCTACTATAAATCTGAAATTGGAAGATCTTATTCACAGAGTTTTCGAAGAACTTCATTTGACGTCATTTAACTCCCATCAATTCACAAATCGAATATTGTTTACAAATTGATGGAAATGTACATATTATCGGCGTGAGAGATCTTCCAAAAAAATTGCATTTGTATAATTTTAGAATAAACCAAAGATACCCCAAAATGAACTTTAGGTCATAGTAAACAAGAACAATTAGCATTATTCATTCGAAAAGTTTGAAGAAAAAATTAGGAGCCGTTTTTTGAGAAAATGATTGAGTTTTCGAGAAGCTTTATTTAAGCTATTATTTAAAGCACATGCACTTATAAATATAATGAGAACAAATCGCCGGTAATTTAAATATTGACGACATGAGAGACACGTCAAATTATATTTTTGTAATTTTTGAAAAAAACAACAACAAACAAACAAAATAGAGCAATAGGCCTTTATGTCATCTCATAGAGTACATTTAGCACTATCCCTACCAAAAGTACAAAGAAAAAAATTGTTGCTGCTTTTGAGAAAATCTTGTTTTTGTAACTTTTTTAAAAATTGCACATATTGCATGCAATATTGCGCGAAAACTACTAAACGTTTCAAAAAATGTACATGACCTTAATGAAAAAACTTATTGTAACACATTTAATTTAAAGGAAAAACCTCAATCTTCAATTTTGTAGTTGTAGGAAGACGCCAAACAAAACTCATACTTTTGAAATTTTCGAAAATTCAGAGTTAACCGTTGAAATCGGACCTATGCCACTTTTATATATGTATGTTAGTCTATTCTTTCAAGAAATTTAAAGAAGAAATTTGGAGCCGTTTTCGACAAAATTTTGAAAATTTCGTTGGGGTTTTATGTAAAGTACCCCAAATTTTAAAGAATGTTTTTCAAAATCTCAAAACTTTGACCCAAGCCAGATGGGCAGGGGTTTCATCAATTTGGAAAAATCCTTCGCGGGTGTAGGCGCTAGTAGCGTTTGCAGACCGACGTTTTGCCCGTCAAGTGATTTTTCGGTAACAAGGACCCACAAAATAGAGATTCTGGTTACACCAGTGTTAGAGGATCCCCCCTTAATTTATTAAGTGGATAAATCCACTTATTCGTCATAAGGGCCGGCAATGAATTTTGTTTTGTCGAAAATACGCCGTTTTTCTCGCGCAGCATTATATAACTTTCCCTATACTACGTATATTACTTCGTATATACGTATGTCTAGGGAAAGTAAAAATGATCAATAAAGAGGTCTTTAATGTTTTTAAAATACTACAAAATCACAGAAAAATGCCATAAAAATTGATTAAAACCATTTCTGATTATTAAATTACCCTGATTTTAACGTATGAAGATGCTCTAAAGAGAAAGAAGTTCTCACAGGGAACAATTAAATCTGTTCTATATGTTACTGATGTAATTGAGGTTTCTTCCATTCGTTCAAGTAAAGTCACTTTGCAAACTTTTGATTTGGTCACTTCTTTACTAGGTAATCTCTCTCTTCTTTTCGTGGATGGTCACAAAAGTCACTTTACTTTTAAGCCGAGTGAGCTCTGCTCTGAATTACAAATAATTTTCATAGCACTGTGTCCGAACGTCACAAGAATTCTCCAACCAGCAGATGTCACTGAATTTCAATCTATCAAGAGTGCGTGGAAGAAAAGAGTGCTAACATGGAGTCGAGAACATCCTTCTGAGCCGATCTCTAGACTTCGCTCCGATATTGGATCAGGTAGTGTGCGCAATAAAGCAGAAACATGTGGAAAATGTTTTGAAGGGCTGTGTTTATTATGTAGTCCTTGGTTTTCCTGGAGCCGCTGAGAGCAAGTTGTGTTCTAAATGTCTTTGGGCGGATGAAAACAATGACCATCGCAACAAATGTGGATAATGCAAACATTGGCCAAGCGACATTGACAAAACAAATCATCTGACATTGTGAAAATATTGCTGCGATATGTGGAGAAGAAAGAGTAGATAAACAGTTTCAATAAATTATGCAGAAAACGTACAATCGAGAGGAAACAAGTAATTGGGCTAACCTCAGGAAAACAAACGTCAATTCTACACGAAGAATGACATATTCATCTACTCAAGGTTCAAACATACTTAAAGGAGGCGAAAGAAAT